GTTTAGAGTTTATAGTGTTTACGGTGTAGGGGTTTAGGGTTTAAGAGTTTCAGGTTTAGGGTTTAGGGCTTGAGGGGTTTAGGGTTTAGGGTTTTAGGGTTCAGGATTTAGGGTTCAGGGTTCAGGGTTCTAGGGTTTAAAGTGGATAGCCTCCTTGGTCAGGATGAGTGGACAGAAGGCTGGCTGCAGAAGATTTGGTACATTCTGTCACTTGGCTTGCAGCTAACATTGAACTGAGGCGAGGCTTGCGGCACTTTTGGGGATACAGGGGCTATACAGAGTTTACAGATAGCTTACATAGGGCTTATGTAGCGTCATAAGGCTGTTACAGCGACATACCTGCAGCTAACATTCACCCCCATCGGAACAAGTCGAAACTGGAGATTCCAAAACTACCATCCGTTCTTGTTCACGCTCATAAATCAGGATTACAGTACACTGGACGACGGGTCTGGCTATATGGCCTCCTATGCAACTACCACATCCTGCTTGCTGTGACTCTGCCCCTTGAGCTGGGCCAAGTTTGGCGAGCTCAACTTGCTCATCATATATCTGTACTACTATGTGTAACAGGCTTGTGAGGTCTTTGAACTCTCCCAGCAACTCGAATCCAGGGCATAAAAAGCAAGAGGAGTTACAATTGCCCTTACTAAGGCCCCTTCAGACACAGTTGCTGTCCATGGAAATTGCACAAGGTATATCTCTTTGCTCCCCTACACCCTAAGCCCTGTTGCCCTGAAAGCCAACAAGCTAAGGTATACCTTTCTGCTCTTCTTGGTCTCCTTGAACATTCTGCTGGCCATCATTGTCGAGAGCTTTCTCAGGGTCAAGCAGGACCGTTCCATGGCTGTCGGGTTTAGGGTTTCAGGGGTTTGGGGTTTTGGGTGCCAGGTTGAGTTGGGATGGGCGTTTAGGGGTCCATCTCGGTTCATGATGTTCAGTGTCTTGTCGTCATAGTTCGTAGGAAGTTGGCTGAAACATTGCCCACTTCTGCTGCCTCATGCTACCTTAGTGTTCAGCCGCATGTCCTCGGTGACGGACCTGGAAGGAGAAAATCTTGCACCATACATAGCCCCAAAGCGTCCCTCAAACTTGTATGGAACTGAAAAAGGTGTTTGTAGATCACTGTCCTTTGAACTGGGGCTGTACCGGCTTCCATGTTGGTTTGTGGGAGGGTAAACGTGCAGGCTTTCCTCCATCCAGTCAAGGCCAGGTGACAGCTGCTCCCAGTGCAACAAAAAGAGACATTGGAGGTGTTCCGTTAAGACTTTCAGGGTCCTAGGGTTCAGGGAAGCAGGGTACGGTAATTTAAAAGCTTGAAGAGTTACCAACATTGCTCCCCTAAGGTCCATATAGAACTACAATATAAGATGCCCAAAACGTGATCCTAAAGGCCCCTAAGTACAATCCTTACTCCCACCCCTATATACTATAACTCCAGCTTCGATTTCATTCTCCATTCTTCAAATGGAAAGTGGCAACTGCCATCGCCAGCATATTCCAAACTCTAAACACCGAAACCCCTAGCCCGATTTAGACAAGGCCCTGGCTATCGTTGCTGTTCACCGCTTGCGCATGAGACGAACATCATTACTATTGGCTACAACACCGCAGAAGTTTTCTATAAGGCCTATAACGACCCCAAAACCCGACATTCCCAGTGGTGGGGCTCAAGACTCGTACCCCCTTAAAAAAATACCCCCAAACTCCTCCTAAACCCACCAAACCAGACCTTCCAGGAGACAGAAGGAAGGCGGTTTTAAAAAGAGGGTTTTAGAAACCAGAAGAGGGTTTTTAAAAACCAGCCCTAAACCTCTAAACACCCTCTTCCAGGAGACAGAAGGAAGGCTGGAGGTGAAGAGCTTGGTGCTGGATCTCCTCTCCTTGCCAGTCTTGGCCTCGGGTTTAGGGGGTTCAGGGTTTAGGGTTTAGGGTTTAGGGTTTAGGGTTCAGGGTTTAGGGTTTAGGGTGTAGGGTTTAGGGTTTAGGGTTAGATCCTGCAAAAGGGATTGTGGCGATTAGTGAAGGGTTATATGGGGCTGAGGGTTCCCACACTGGAATTGGTTAGATAGAGATGGGGGAGGTATGTGTGGGGTTGAACTCCCGGGCATTGCTCGCTTGCTGTTACGCAGCTTAAACTAAGCTACCATACAAAGTCGACCTCATCATTTACTATGCAGCCATATACATCCATATTATGGTAAGGTTGCTTTAGTTTTCCCTCTCACTTACCCAGTGGGGGTCAGCTATGCATAGTGTTGCGATGTTATAGGCTTCGCTTAACGGGTCGGGGGGGTGCTGTCGTTCAGTTTGTGCACAGGCATCACATTGAGCCCCTGTTGAAACCCAGTTGCCAGTTGATTTGCCATTTCCCATTTGGTTCTAGACCTTGTAAGATGTCGTTCGAGTTATATGACAGATGAGCTATAGTCTAACTCCTTACAGGAGGATATATGGGCCATTGTAAGGCTGTTTCAGGGGGATACTGAGAGTTGAGGTTAGAGCTTGTATAAAGTCGGCATTCGAGCCATTCCAGCAGTCTTGGTGGCTAAGTTGAAAGCGCTGATCGGCTTCCATCACCGATGGCCGTCGACCCGCGCGTTGTACTTTCATCTCGAGGTGAGGCTGTCTCACCGTCCTAGAGCTCGGAGGTCTGGATCTAGATAGGGTTACGGTGTAGAGTTTTGGGGTTTTGTGTTTAGATTTGAGGTTGGTTACATAGTATATATAGGTTTTGAAGTCGGTATGGTGTCCTTGGGGAAGACAAGATGATACTAAAGGGATTATGTGGCAAATGTAAGGTTCAGGGTCTATGGCTGGAAATACTGAGTACTACCAGATTATAGCGGTATCAAGTGGTGGTCTTTGGTAAGAAGGTTCCAGGGACCCTCTACAGGAGGTTATGGGACTTGTAGGCACATATAGGGTTTAGGGTCAGGCGGACGTAGTAACTGCGCTCTATGGCTTATCTAAAGTTGCTAAGTACCTGGGGATACTCCAAGGTTTATGGGCTTTCGAAGTATGCTGATTAATTCCGACAGCAATGCTCTGCAAGTCTGAACCCCAAGAGGTGCATGGAACGAGACCTGCAGGGTAAAGCTGAACAATGAAAACCGACAAGCCCCAAAGAACCGGACGATCTCTGCCTCCTTGAATACAGCTCCTCATCATAATAACCTCCCCCAGTCCGTTATCATTCTCAATTACAAACGCTGGGGAATGCACGGCTTGGGAAGCAATAGCTATGTCTACAATGCTTCAGGGGAATCCACGAACACGATTTAGTTTGGGCAGTATTCAGGGATCCCAGTTCCCCGTACTTGTGACAAGGATTATTCTTTAGATTGTAGTTGGAATCCTCGTGCGCTTTCAGCTATATTCCCAAATTCAGGCGTCCTGTGTGAATGTTTGGACCAATCCTGTTCTTTCCCATCTCTTGTATGTGCAGGCAACCCGCTTGTGGAAAGCTCCGGTAACAGCAAAGGCCAAAGGGCTGTGTCCTCCGGTTCGGTCTTTGTTTTGGGACGCGATGACGGCTTCAATACACGTATGGGGGTTTTGGCTGAGAATCGAAAGTCTTCATCCGACAAACAGGCGGCTTACGCCAAACACCTCGGGTTCATTCACACGAATCCTTGATGAAGATGATGCTGGTCATGACCATCGTCATCTTCTTCGTCCATGCTTGTGCTGCTGCTATTGCTCATCATCATCATCATCATCATCATCGTTGTCATGCTCATCCTCTTCTCAGCACATGCCGTCGAGAGAACTCTGAGGGCGTATGGAGATTGCCTAGGGATTTTTTGGTGGGCCTATGACAATGAAGGAGTCGCTGTTTTTCATCTTCAGGAAGATGCTGGCATTGTCCTTCTTACTCGTGTTTCTGGCGTTCTTGTCCATGGTTGCACTCCCGAAAAGGTAAGATACAGAAGTTGTTAGGTACTCTGTCCCTTTGTAGCTACACATCGGTTGCTCTAAGGGCGAATTGATATGAACCCCCTTATAAAAGCCCTGTACAAATCCTCCTAACTCCATACTTCCGAACAGAACCCTTCTTTTTCCTTCGCCTACATGCATATCTCATTGTAGATAAAAGCGCCGCACTCTGGTCGTCTCGGCCCGACTGCAGAAAGCCTAACATGATGTACTAGAATGAGAGTATCTACACAATAACAAGTACCCTCAATAAAGTACCGCTATATATGGAGATCATGGTAATAAGTTTTCTCAATATATAGTACTATCGTCTAATAAGGATGTTGCGTATTAGTAGTGGCGTAGAGGGTCTGCAGTAGTCATTGTCCCTGGCAGGCTAGCCCAAGCCAAGGCAGAATGATAGTCAGCCAGGAATACAAAGTGTTTTGTGCTTGTAAATATATCCTTAAACGTCGCAAACCTGTACTCGCCTCGTGGCAGCACTATGAGGCTGACTGCGCAACCAACATGAACCGAAAGGTGTAGTCAGTGCAGGAACCTTGCCGTCAGCAGCCAAACATGGCTTTAGGTCAAAATTTCTAGCAGGAAAGCATGCACACGCAGTTTAACGGTGGTATCTCTTTGTGTTTGGATATCCATGCTCTCACACAACACCTCGCGGCCCTCCTTCGCCACTTCTGTCACCATCATCATCTGCAGCAAATGCTCAGACGAAGAGGTGTTGGGCAGCGATGACACAATCCCCGCAATCCGTCCTGCAGCTGCGCCCCAAAGTAACAACTTGCAGATCCCGTCTCGCTCCTTTAGGACATCCCACTGACCATCCCTCAGCACAGCCGCATCTAACATGATCGTGCTGTGCGACTCCATGGGTTTGAAGATCTTGTCGGCCTTTGCCCGCTCCCGTAGAGCTTGATCACCCAGCCCCTATGGATCATCGCATGTGCTGCTCCTGTGAAAACAATACCGTCTCATGGAATGCATACATACAGGTTGCCGATGTTGTTTTCTTAAACGCGATATGTAGTTGCACTATCATCTGCCACAGAGCCGCGTCCAATTAAACAGGCCTTTGCAGACAATCCGAATCCTGACTCCTCAAAACCCCAAAACCTTCATGGTAGCACTTCTTGCTGGCAGGAGTTGGCAATGTCCACGCAGGCCGTCTTCGGAAACCTGGACAGGGATGGGACAAAGTCAGGTCTAGCTGCCAAAGGGGTGTAGGATTTAGGGTTTAGACTCTTGGGTTTAAGGGTTCAGGTATCAAGCAGGATTTGGGGGGGTTAGGGTCAAGAAAGGTTTCCTGAATTAGCCATCCTGACAACATAGCAGGCTGGCTGGCTGGCCCTTGGGGAAGTCTTTCATCCTGAGTACATTGAGGGACTATGGAGTTAGAGACTCGGTTAGATCCTCTTAATGAGCCCTTTTCAACCTTGCTGCAACCTTTCACAAGTAGTAACCCCAGGTTCCCACCAAGTATATCGGCAGATCACCAGTAAGATGATGGTTCCTCACGCGCTTCAGCTCTTACACTTATCCCACTCGCACCTCAACATACGAAAAAAAAGGGGGCGGGGGCGGGGGCGGGGGGGGGAGGGGGCGCGTTCTTTTCCCGCAAGCCTTGCGCAGCCCTAGAGCCTGGACACCAGGAACCTCGCCTGTTCCAATGCCCAAACCCAGTTCATGGGTACTCATAATCCGCTCAGGATCTAGAGAGCCTCAAGAACCAGGTGATAAGAGTGATAGCTGTTTACAGCTACCACTCTCCCGGAGTTTAGCATCAAGCTCGGGGGTTTTTCAGAGTCAAAGATCATCAACCCTAAGCCCTAAACCCCTAAACCCTAAACCCCTTAACCCTAAATCCCTAAACCCTGAACCCCTAAACCTTACACCCTAAACCCTAAAACCCTAAACCCCTAAAACCCCTAAAAGCCTCGACTTGCGCAGGACAGAGCGGCCGACCTCCTGCGATACTACCATTGGATGCTCAGCTGCAATGTCGGAGTGGATAAATCTAGAAATAGCTTTTAGGGCTTAGGGTTTAGGGTTTAGGGTTTAGGGCTAAATATACATATATATATATATATATACAAAAGTTATAGGGTTTAAGGATTAGGGCTTATGAGGGTTTAGGGGGTCCTCTAAGAGCCTTGGGGTGCTTTGGAGGGACCGTTTCTAGAGCTATGGGAGATCTCTTGAGTCGGGAGGGAAGAGATCCTGAAACCCAGGGCAAAACGCGAACCTTGGACCTCGTGTGTGTTCCAAGTCTGCTGCTTCCCAGGCTCTTGGGCAACGTTGTCCTCGATGAGAAGGGGCGCGAGTATGAGGATCGTTTGCACGTGCTGTGATGCAGCAAGACCGTTAGGACATATCATGATATACGCATGTATGTGTATATGTGTATATATTCAGTGTTTATATGTATTAACAGATGAGGACCTCGTACATGCCCCTGTATGTTTTTGTTTAAACTTCTTTTATCCTCCGCATGGAGCCACTAAATCATCAAACCCTTAAGTCAATGAACCATCAAAGCAGTAGTTTCACGCCTACTACGGCCACTAAGCCGTTGAACCAATACACCGTTTAACCAATAATTTCACCTCCAAAGGGGGGCCACTAAAAGGTTAAACCAAGAAACCATTGGTTAGACCAACTGTCTCCCCCGTGGAGGCTTGTATGCTTGGCGGTAGAGGCCGGGGAAAACGCTCGCCCCACTCGCAAAACACGGGCCCGTATTCCGACACACCCTCTGGGTTTATGAGCCTAGGCACCCCCGAAAAGAGGGTGTGGCAGCCCTATGAGATTTCCGTAGCCGACTCTTGAACTCGACCGCTATCTAATCCTGGCAACAAGAAAGAAAGGCTTATGTGCTGTGCCCTGCAATCATGAAATGTGTTTTAACTTTTGAACTTGGGATCAGGAGTTTGGAGTTTACACACTTTAAAACACCCAGCCCCAGGAAACTTGAAAGTTTCGTTGCCCGAAATCTCCAATCCTGCTGGCTGGGTGTATTTTCTTCAGGTGGCCGCAAACCAATGCTAACAAGATGGGTCTTTGTTCTGCTCATTCCCACGAAAGTTTGCTGCACTATTGAACTACTGCCAACTGCTTTTTACTGGGCTTTGGAGTACCAAACTCTAATACTTTTTGGGGACCTGTTCCTTAAAGGAACCATTATGAAATAAAAGTTTATACCTTTTTCTCCTTGGTTACTTCAAAGCCCAGTTTAGTATAGCAAGCCAACCTGCTCCAAAGGAGCCCACCGCCCAGGGATCATGAACTCTAGGGCCGGTTTAGTAAGGCCTCGTCAGGTTCATGCACTCAACCCTAAGCCTTAAAGCGTCCTTGTGTAAGGACTCTTAGTTGGAATTAGTAGGGTTTAGGGCTCATAGTGGGGCCCCAAACCTGTTAAGATGCCAATCTCGAGCTAACGACTAAGCCCGTCGCTGAAGGCCATGAACTGAAAAACCCACGAAGCTGATGAACACCAGCAAACCGCTGAACCACTAAGCCATTGGACCTGTCTATTTTCCCGCCCTGGGAGCCCACCCAACATTGCACACATGGCAAGCAAATTGTTTGATGGCTCAGTGGCTCTGCTGGGGGAAGCCATTGGTCGAATGGTGTGGCTTAAAAGCCTCCCTTTTTGGATGAAACTACTGGTTCAATGGTTTATCGGGGGCAGCTATTGGTTCTGCGCCAAGTCACGAACATTTGTGGAAAGG